GAAACGGAAGACACACACAACACATCAGATTTTTTCTTGAGAAGAAAAGGGGAGTGCATCCCCTGGCGTAGGGAGCGACCAGGGTCAGAGGCTCGGCTGCGATGCCAAGCGTGCCAGCTGCTCTCTCAGGCCTGCGCCGCTGGGCAGACCAGACGGCTGGGAGGTCATTGCGGGCGGGGAGGTCGTTGCGGGCGGGGAGGTCGTTGCAGGTCGCCCACGGGCACCACCCTCTCCCGGAGAGCCCGCTTGCCCGGCTAGTCCAGGGGCTGAGAACGCAGCAACCCACACGTCTGTCCCCGCGGCCAAACCGACCACAGGAAAGAAGCATTTCGGTCTAAAGGGTAGCATTCAAGCCCGGCTTTGATCTCTGCGACCATCACCACATCACGGGGACCCCACAGTTGCTACCCCAGGAGCACAGGCAGCGCCGGCTGTATTCGGAGACCGCCCTGTGGCCGGCCGGCGAGCCCGGGAGGGAGGGAGGGAGGCGCTGGTCACACCTCCTTCCTCCCCAGGCAGGAAGCGGGAAGAGCTCCTGCTCCTCACCTTGGACCTGTGTCCGTGGGGGCTGCTGTCACCCATGGGCTTGGCTGCCTGAGCACCACGGGCCAACGTAACACACGAGCCGCTCGTGAGCCCCGTGTCTCTTAAACCGCCCGTGTCTGTCTTTACTTTTCCCACCCAGGAGGTTGCGGCAGCCAGGTGGTCTCGCGTGACTGGCAGCGGTTTAAAGCCAGCAGGTGGTTTGCACAGAGCACCCACAAGACTTGGTGCTCTTCTGGTATCAGAAACCTAAAAATCTGGGTGTGCGAGTTGGCTCATGCCTGTAATCCCAGCACTTTGGGAGGCCGAGGCGGGAGGACCCCTTAAGGCCAGGAGTTCGAGACCAGCCTGGGCAACACAGTGAGACCTTGTCTCTACTAAATAAGTAAGTAAAACCTAAAAAGGAGTTGTAAAATCAGTACTTAACAGGAGATCTTACTAAACCTTGGTAAGCAAGGAAAAAGAAGAAAAGGGAGTTACAAATGAAGGGCACGGGGTCGGCTGAATTAGCTCCCAGGGAGAGCGAGGAGGGGCAGTGAGGTTCTCAGTCTTCACTTTGTTCCTGCCTTCAGGGAGATCACTGAATGTGCTTTGGCGATATAATTTATAAGGAAATTGGTTTTACTCAAAAGGACGTTTTTGCTTTATGTCTTGTAGCACCCCTGAGTGCTTAAAAAAAAAAGAGAGAGAGAAGGTAATTCCATTAAGCTTTCAATTCTCGCTGGCAGAAGAAATGAACTAGATGTGATGGGAAAGATAAGGCGCGGCCTTCGCTGGGACTGACCTTGCTCCGGGGGTCGGGGACCAGAAGCGCGGTCTTTGTTCCAGAGATGTGATTTCACGTTTAATCAGAGGGCCAGCGCGCCCCTTTATTATTTTTTTTTCTATAAACCCCAATCTGACAGTGCTGAGAAAAACGCCCATTCAGGCCGCTGTCGGCGGATCATCTGATCGTCATCCCAGCGGCTCTGGGAGTGGCGCGTTGGCGCGGCGACGGCGCGGCGGCCCGGAGATGACGGTGAACGTTCAGACCGAGCTGCGCACAGCAGAGACGAGCCCGGCCAGGCCCGTCTGGAATCTCCTCACTTCTTCTATTGTTTTGGAGGGCGTGGGAAGGAAGAAACGACTCAAAATTAAAGGAAAAATGTCTACTGCTCAAGGTGAAGTTTTCACACAGCTGGTAGGGCTCCGACACGATCGAGCTCGGGGAGACTTACACGCTGGTGCGTCCAAATGAGAAGCCGGGAACAGCGCAGCGATGTGTGTTTTTGTTTCCTCCTTCCTCGGGTGATTGAAAATAGGGTTTTATGCTCTGAAATGGCACTGCCGGGTGCTGCAGCCGCGAGCCACTGTGGCTTTTCGCATGTAAGCATACACTAGTCGAAGTTAAGTCCAATGAAAAGCCCCCTGGTTCAGCCGCACGCCAAGGGTTCAACAGCCACGTGCGGCCGCGCTGCACAGCACAGACAACCCTTCCCGTCGCTTTCCGGGGCGGCAGCTCTACCGGTCGGCGCAGCTCCAGAGAAGACACACGGCCGAAGCCACGCTCTCGTGCTCACGCGCACGCACCCGAGCGCACAAGCCCCGCGGCGAGGAGTGTGATTCCACAGCCGCCAGACCATCCCAGCTGCCGGTCAGGTCCTTCGATTTGACGGCGGCCGGTGCCGACGGGCCGAGATCCTCCAACGTTGGGTCTTTCAGAGACTCCGCCTTCACGCAGGATCGAGCTCTTTGAAAGGCAAACTGGAGACTCTGCAGAAAGAGCTGGAAAAAGCCTGCGGCCGCAGTGCCAGCAGGGACCCTACGAATTTCACATCCCATTCTCGTTCCGCTCCGCGAGAGAAGCCGTGGGGTTCCTGTCTCTGCCGCCCTCTGCCCACGGGAGCTCCGCGGAGAGGGCGGCACGGAGGCCAAGCCTCTCCCTTGCTCCCGTCCTCCGCCTCCTGGCCGCCCTGGTGTCCCGCCCACACGGCCGGCGCGGTGCGCTGTGCCTTCTGTCTCAGGGACCCGTGAGCACACACGCTGTGTTTCTCCTGGGCCTCTCCTCCGATGGCCACACCTGACCGACCCCGTCACAAAATCCAAAACGTGGCTCCAGACAGGTGCTGCCCGCCCGCGCTGCAGCGGAGGGTGGTGCTCCCTCCTTCTCAAAAGCTTTCCCAGAAGTTCCCTTTACCATTTTAGCTCCTGTCTCAGTAAGAACTAGGCCGGCAGCAGCGTGGCTGCACTTACCCGTCAGGGACACCGGAAAACGAGCTTCTTCACTGAGAACCTTGCCCTGAGATCAGTTAAATGAGAGAGAAGAGGAAAATGAATATATGGATTGAGAGGCAATTCACAAACCCTCCGTCAGTTTTACTTTTGGGTTTTTGTTCTTATGTGTAGAAGCTTTTCATATGCAAAGGAAATTATCTCTTTGCTACAGGAGTTAGAGAATTTTCTGTTATTCTCTTGACTTTGATTATGGTATTTTGTCACGTGAATATTTTTTCTGAAGTTGGATATATCAACATTTTCTTTTTTATATAGTTTCTGGATTTGGGTTTTATTTAGGAAGGCCTTCCCCATGCCAAAGCCTCTCGTGGTTGCTTCTAATACTTTTGTAAGGATCCAGACTGTGAAAGCTTCAACTCCAAGGTGGAACTGAACTTCTACCTAAGGTGTGAGCAGGAGCAGTGGCAGCTGGCTCACTGGCACTGGCTGGGCTAATGCCACCATTCAGTAGTCTGACCCCACAGTACTAGTTTTGAATGGTGGCTCAAAGATTAAGGGTGATCCAGGCCCCATTAGCTACTGGGTGGATCATTGCAGTCCAGTAAGAATTTTCATTGAATGAGATCTGAAATGGAAATCTAAACAGTGGCGTCAGAAAGTTATTAGTAGGAAACCAAAGAAATGTTCATTTGTAAACCAGACAGAAGGTATTTTAAAACTGTCACCGTTCACGTGGGCAGGTAACTACTCAGTCCAATAGCTCCCTCTTGCCTCTGGTGATAATTACTAACGGGTAAAAGCCCCTAATGGCCTGGAGTCACTGGAGTTAGGGCTACTCCCTTTTGCTGAGCCTAGACACTGGCTAATCTACAAAAATCCTTGTTTATTTTGGTAGGATGGCAAATTCTTTTTCTTGGAAAGGAGTAATTTTAATAGGCTACATTAATTTAATTGGTTCAAAACACATTTTGTCTTTTATATATATATATATTTTTACAAGAGATGGTGTCTTGCCCTGGTGCCCAGGCTGGAGTGTAGTGGTGCTATCATAGCTCACTGCAGCCTCCAACTCCTGGCCTAAAGGGATTCTCCTGCCTCAGCCTCCCAAGTAGCTGGGACTACAGGTGCACGCCACAACGCCCAGCTAATTTTTTTATTTTTTGTAGAGATGGGGTCTCACTATGTTGCCCAGGCTGGTCTCGAACTTCTAGGTTCTAGTGATCCTCCCACCCTGACCTCCCAGAGTGCTGGGATTACAGACGCAAGACACCACGCCTGGTCAAAATTTCACATGGATACACAGAAAGAGCTGTCCAACTTAGTCAAACATCTACTAAAAGCACTTTGCAAACTTGAATTCCAATGTTGCTTATAGCTCTGAATTGAAATATTCACTTGAACTTCCAGAGGTATGAAAATGTTGTCCCATTATCATAGGAACGGAAAGTTAAATGATTAACAATTGGAAACATCACCTTAATATGTTCCTTCTGAATCCAATTAGACCCAGAAAGGCATTATATCACAGGCTCCAAGAAGTGAGATGGAATGTTTGCAACTAGACCAAGAGGAGTGCCATGCGTTCCGACAGTGCCTTGCAAAGCAGCGACTTTATCTCCTTCGCTCCTCGCCTGCACCAGTGGGGTGGACAAGGCAGAAACCGCAGGAAACTATGAATAACCACCATCAACCTGCCCGGGTGATTACAAAGGTAGTATTTGGCAAAACTACGGTGCAACCTAGAATTCATGAGTTTTAATTCTGGTAAGTACTTTGATAGTGACCTAAAGTTAACAGGAAAATATTTTTTAACATGACTTACGTGGTCCTTTCATTTCATGGGAGCTTAACATGGAGTCTACAGACTGTGTCCCAGCCGTGCTGAGACCCAGGGGTTGTCACAGGCTGGCCACCGGCCTGCTACCCCCACGGCTGAGGCAACTTGCAGCACTCACCAGGCGGTTTTAGTCACCTGAGGGGAGACAAGGGAGCAGGACTGTCACAGCACCTGTGAGACTGATTCCACAAACTCTTGTGAGAAGACTTGAAGGTTCTCGGAGAACTAAACAAATCAGGTGTATTAGCAAGAGAGAGAAAATGTATCACCACCTCCAAATTGATTCCTGTAGACACCTTCTGTTTGAGGCATATGCACAGAATTTTTATGAAGTAAAAATTAGGTCAAATGTGTGCCAGGTTAAAAAAAAAAAAAGCAAAATTTTAAGGACTGACACAAGGGACACTTAAAGGTTGAACATCACATTTTAATCTCAAAACCTTTTATCCAGTCCTCAAATTATTAACATGGAAAGGAATGATAAACTGCAGTTTTACCATTACCGTATCACTGTGTAACAAGCCCTTGTTACAAAATCTCCATCTACTGTCTCCAAAAAACCAATAGAAAACCCATACATTGTATCACCTAATGATCTATTAACAGATGAAATTTTAACCAACTTTATACCAGGAAACTATCAACAGAGGTACTTCAATCACATAGCTTAAAATATGGAGAAAAGACAGGTAAAAAAATTATCTTAACCTGTAGTAGTCTTTTTACTTTTTAAAATTTTTATAAAATACACTAATTTCCCAAAATAAAGAATATTATGACACATTGGTGTCAACTTACACAGATGAAAGCTGCTGCCAGCTTTTTTTTTTCCTAACTAAAGTTCATTTCACCAAACTTTTATATATTACATGAATATCCAAGTATTTTTAAAAAAATCAACACAGAGGAACATAATGTACAGTGTTTTTTTTTAAAAAAATGGTTAATTTAGGAATGATTTTATTTTCAACCACATAATATATCTTTTTAAGACCATGAAGCCTCTTGTCACCGCAAGAGGACTTTTTAGTTCACGTTTCTGTCTCCCAGTTTTAATTCTTAAAAGTAAAAAAAGAAAAGGTTTAATTTATTGACCATGAGAAAACCGTGGTAACGACCTCATTCACCACCAGCCGTCTTCCCTCCGTCGTTACCGAGACCCACAGCCGCGTGGCACACGGTGACACCGGTGGGGAGGCCAGTGACATCCGAGAGCGGACGTAAACAGACGGGCTCTGCTGGATGCTGCCACAGTTGCAAGGCGTGGGCACGCTCACCCCGTCCCTGCCGCCCTCAGCCGGGAGCACTTCCGCTCACGGCTCGGGGCGCGGCTCCCGGGCGCCTTACCCGAGAGGCGGCAGCAGCGGCTCCAGGGCGGGGCGGAGCACAGCGTGGACTGTGCGCCTCGTGCCTCGGTCGGTTCTCGGCACAGGCCAACCTCCGCGGGAACTGCCGTGAGACACGCACGCCACGCCCAGTCCGTGTCACCGCGGGACCCGGCTGCACATGCAAGGCGTGGGGACGTCACAAGGGATGAGGGGAGACTTTCACAGTGTTTCTCACAGCCTTGGGCTCGACACAGGCACCACTGACCACCACTACCTCACGGACGTCCGGCCGTGGCCCGCACGCAGGCGGCTTGGGGAACGACGGGCAGTGACACTTCACAGTCACCCTCAGACAGGGAGCACAACTTCCACCTTCTCCACTTTCAACAACAAACGAAGGGAGCTGCTTCTGCTATAAAACTAAATATGTTTCTGAATACTTTCTCTTCAAGGGTTGTGCTTTATTCTTCCCTAATCGCTTCACTGATTTCATTCTAGGAAAACTAGAAACCCACAAAATGAAACTGAGGACTACGTCTTAAGGGGGATTCCTGACCAAACTAGAGAGACGGGGAGTCACTGAGTTCTCCCGTCTTGAGTTTCTGTCTCCCTACCCTCAGCCCTTATGGACACTGACTCAGCTGAATGTCCGTTCGGTTTCCCAAAGAAGGGAACCAGACCAGAGTGCTGGCGTCTCTGTCTTAAAGAAGAAAACATGACCCCAGATTATAACGGTGGGGGGGGGAAGATGCATTCTACGTCAAAACGAACCTCTTGCTCGCAACAGGAGATAATCCAGCTTCTCCTTAGCTATCATTTCATAAATTAATAATCTCTTAAAATCATAATCCGAAGAATTTATCTATTATAAGAAAAGTTCAAGTTTAAAAAAGCAAATAAATTAGTTAAGCCTTGTAAACAATCGTCCATTTTAGTTACGTATCTTTAAAAAACAAGTTTCTGTATAGCGTACGGGACAGTACAAGGCACACGGCGCGCCGGTCCCAGGGCGGGAAACCGCGCACGCGCCCGTCCGCGAGCCGGGCGGCCGGCGGGCACCGAGTCACGCGCCAGTCCTTACTCGCTCCCGGCCGGCCGCGAGTCCACAGATGTGCTCTTTCCGTGAGTCGCTTTGTGCTGTTTCGCTGTGTGGCCCGATCGTCAAGCCTTCTCCGCGCTGGCTTCCTCAGATGTTTTCCACGAAGCTTCCCGGGAAAAGGCCGGTCTTCCCGTTACGCTGCAACGTGCCTTTGAACCAGCCATCCTCCCGCTTCTTATGAACAAACACAATGTCTCCTTCTTTGAGTTCGAGTTCCGCCTCGCTCTGGGGTGGGTAGGAAACCACCACCCTGTGCCTACGAGAGACAGAGGGACAGAGAGAGGTTTCAGTGCACCCTGTTCGAAGCAGCGATTAAAAGCAACGAGGCGCTATCGGCCTGCGCGAGCCCGCGACATGCACGGATAGGAAATAGCAGGAACCCGTTCGCAGCGTTTGTAAGATGACGCAAAATGCAATGTTTGCTGCTGGGCAGAGACTGGCGCTAGCAAAGACAGGGCTGGTGTGCACACCGGCCCGCTGCTGATGGCCCGGACGGCTCCTCTGCGTGACCTGTGCAGGGAGAACCGCCCTGGCCCTTCCCCGTGTTGTGTCTGGACCACACAGAGGGAAGAGTGTCGCTCCGTTTTCCAGGAGGGGCACCTTGTCTGTCAGCTCCCTGGAGAGACGGAACCGATTTGCCGGTGAGATTGGGGCACGCAGCTGCACAGCTGGCCTGGCCCTCTCTGGGCCACTGCCGGCGGGCTGCATGGGCCCCACTCTGCCTCTGCGTGCTCAGCACAGAGGGGTCAGGGGTCAGGGGTCAGGCCTGCCTGCTGGAGGGGAGTCCGGAAGCCTGTCTCTGTGTCCCTCACGCTGGAGTTGGACACGGGTGGGGAGCAATTCTGAGGATGCTCGTGGGCCCTACGTGCCCTGATTCTCCCTCAGACGGTGGGCCGAGGTCCGGACATGGAGGGAGCGGTCACCACAGTTCAACCCGATGCCGCCAGGCACCAGACTGGCGTCCTCATCTCTAACCGCAGAAGCTCCGTGAGTCTAACGCTACCTGTCCCCCGCCCCCAGGCTCCCGCCTGCAAAGGCAGTCACGTCTCACGTTCCGTGTCCTTCTGTCCTTCTGTTTTTCCAGCACGACTCCTCTCCTCGCTCCTCTCTTGCTTCTCCCGACCGAAGGGGAAGGGAACGGAGTCCGGCAGCCGGCCCTAGCGGCCGCACTCCCTGGCGTCCACACTCCAGTGCGGTCTCCCGCCGCGACACACAGGACGACCCATGTGACCGCGCAACGCCACTCCAGGGACAGCGTGTGACAGCGTGTGACCCCCACGGCCGGGCACAGGAGGCAGCGTGGCGTCCACCTTGCTCCTCCGGACCGTTCACGCTGGGGAAGTCAGCGCGGGCTGTGAGCACGCGGCGTCGCCGTGGAGACCGCGCTGGCGAGGCATGGAGCCTCTTCCCGAAGCCGAACGCTGGGCCCGGCATGGGGAGGGACCCCGCCCCAGGCAAGCGTCGGCTCGCTGGGGTCCTGACTGCAGCCTCGAGAAGCACCCCAGCCACAGTCGCCCAGGTAAGCCGCTCCTCAATTGCCTGATCCACAGAAACCGTGAAATGATAAATGTTCACCGTTGTTCTGAGCCACTGAGATTTGGGAGGCATTTGTTGCACAGCGATAGGTGACTAATAAATGACGACACCCATCTTTCTCTGTTGGATGCTAAGTGATGGGTATTTAGTCACAAAGGAGACTGAGTTCTATTTTTATTTGGTTCTCAAAGTCAGAAAATGAGTTTATAGCCTCACAAGGACCCACTCTTGACTGAGAGTGAAGAATGTTATGGCTTGAAAACGAGAGCCAGACAAATGCTATACGATTCCCCCAAACTTCGGAAACTCATTAGCGCCTCATCCTCTCACCAATCCCCATTCCACAAAAACCAGAATGTGAGGACAGGCCCAGCGGCTCAGCCTGTAGTCAGTCCCAGGATCACTTGAGGCCGAGAGTTCAAGGCTGCAGTGAGCCACAATGGGGCCACTGCACTCCAGCCTGGGCAACAAAGCGAGACTCTTGAAAAAACAAGAACAGAAACTGGAACGCGCTCATATTAAGAAAGACCCTAGCAGGAGTTTCAGGTTAATACACTATAAAAAGTGTATCTCTGCAGAGGCTAAGTGGCTGCCCGAACAATTCCTGAGCTCCTTTGGGCACAGGGACCAAATTACAGTCCAAGATCCGAAGGAAAAGCACATCACGGAGGCTGGCTTATCATTTCCAAGAAAGGTCCAGCTAATTCAAACGTGAGCGTTCACAGACCACAGGCTGGGGTGGGTTCCATCAAGCATGGATGGGGGAGGAGGCTCGGCAGGGCGGGAGAAGCTCTGGCCTGTGGGTGGGCTCAGCCTTTAATCCCCAATTAGAGAGTTTAATTTGGGACTAGTTATCACAGCCCTCTTGGTCTCAGTTTCCTCATCTGGAGAACAGCACTACCGTGGGTCAAACAGGTATTTTGCATGTAGTGCAGTGACACTGTAAGTATTATGCCCTTAAAACAGTGTTTGGCACATAGTTCAATCCCACCACGTTACCTCCGATATGATCACGTGGCTTAGGCAGGTGTGCCAGGGTCGTGGCATTGCTGGGAGGTGAGGACGGGCCAGGCCGTGGCTGGCCACCTCTCACCAGGAAACAAACTCCGGCCACAGCCTGAACAGCTTCCTGATAAGACTTGACAAACGTTAGAATGACATGGTTAGGGTTTTGCAATTCCTTCTCTGATATTTTTAAAAGCAAGACAAATAATTCCATCATGGACTTATCTGAAGGAAGGATCTAGATGAGAAGATTTCTCAAGTCTGATGTCAGCATGCCAAAAATCCGTGTAAAAAGTAATGATGTAGTTGCCATTTGGGGCAAGTTAAAATTTAAGCAAAGCTTTACAATTCTGGGGAAAAAAATGTACAAGTGACTCAAAACATATTCAGAGTAGATCTCTCATGAGATGTATTCCCTACTGGTGCTCAGCAAGCTGCCTTGAAGGTGAAATGGAACAAAAATAGCTCTTGAAAAACTTGGAAGTGAATTAGATTAATATATGCATTTTATAAAATGTACTAAACCAATTTTGTCAAAAAAATTTTTTTGAGCTGTAACTGCTGCTGGGCTAAGAACATAATCTTCCTGCCAAGTTCCCAGTGGGAGCAAATTTTCATTGCTGAGTTTTATAAACCTCTGGGGGCGTGGAATGAGAAGCCATGCACATAATGGAAACTGTGACACAGTCTTGATCACATGAAGACTACCAGGTGCAGCAGTAACCGACTCCACGCAGGAATCCTCCAGCTCAGACCCCGGTCTCCCACCTCGTGAGCTGGTTCACACAGGGATTTCTAATTCAGATGCAAACGGCCAAACACTGGCACGACTGGCCAACTATTCCAGGCATGGAAAGGCTTTGCCAAGTAGAACGGTTACAGACCAGCGAGCAGATGTGAGGCACAGCTGCAGAGGCCTCTGCCTCTGCTTCCCCACCCTCTGCCGCACTCGGATTGTGCCCGTCCTTACACAAACCGGGCTTTGGAAAAGCTCTGAACCTCAGGAGTCAAAGACGACTCTCCCATGGCCACCACGCACCTGCTGATCCACCTTCAAAATCTGTACCCCACCCACTCCCCTCTTCACTGTCATTGTCACCATCCTGGGTGACGACCTCATTACCTGTCACCCGGTCAAGTCATCTGCCTGTCCTTCCTGCCTCCGATCTCTTCCTGTCCCCAATCCAGTCTACACAGACCCACATGTTAATATTCTTAAGTGGTAACTCTATTTGCAGGTCCCCATTGCTATACAATGCCACTAGCAGCTCCCAGAGCCCGTGAGTGAGGCTCACCTCAGCGTGGTCTGCAAAGCCCTCCATGACTGGGCCTCAACCCTCTTTATAGGCACAGCTGCTTAGTACCACCCCAAGCAAACCAAACAATCCCCTAAGCCAGAAAACATCCTCCGAATATGGACCTCACTTCTCCACGCAGACCCCGGTTCACGTGGGCCCTTCCACTAGGGCTCTCCCATCCCGTGACGCCCTCTCTGCGCAGCCACACCCCGCCAGCCTCCCCAAGTCTGGCTCCAGTCTCCCCTGGGAAATCTGCAGCCCCAGGGCTGGAGGTAATTTCATGCTTTATTAGTCCCAGAGGCCTCCATGTATATTTCCTACGGCACTTAGCACGGTCTACACTGTACTACTACCACCTGTGTCCCTGCCTCGGTTATTCTACTGGACCGTACGCTGCTTGAAGGGTGAGATGATGGTAAATTCACTTTCTATGCCTCATACCACTTAGCACAGCACACACAGTAATTCTTAATAAGCATGGCAAGCGACAAAAGAAAAGGCCTAATTGACAGTAAATCTGTTAAATGTACAAAGCTCTTTAACACGGGATGGAATTCCGACACATGCTGCAACACGGATGAACCTTAGAAACACTATGCTAAGTGAATTAAGCCTCTCCCCACGCACACGCACACACGCACACACACACAAGGACAGACACTGTATGGTTCCATTTATGAGGTCCCCAGAACCGGCACTCACGGACAGAACGCAGAATGGGAGTTGCCGGGGCCTGGCGAGGGGGGCAGCCAGGAGTCAGCCTTTACTGGACACAGACTCCGTCTGGGGTGACAGACGCTCTGGAGATGGACAGTGGTGACTGGCTGCACAGCAAGGTGAGCGCACTTAATGCTTCTGAACTGCACACTTGAAAAAATGGCAAATTTTATGTGTATTTTATGGTGCCACAATTAAAAAAATAAGATGAGCAAATGAATGAATAAAATGGAAAAATTTTTGAAAGGAGAGAACAAAGCTGCCTGGCACCCTGGTTGTCGGACACACGCCCTCCCCTCTGCGCAAAGCACAGAGCTGTTAGGTCACAGCGCGGCCCACACGCCCGGCCTCTCGGTGGCCGTGCCACCCTGACTCAGCTTTCGTGGCGGGGACCAGGGTGGAATTCGAGAAACAGAGTCTAGCCACGCAAGAAGTTCCACGGGCATCTGATGCCAACCTGCTTGGTGTAGGCTACGGTACCCTCGCTTCCATCTGATGGTCACCTGCAATCTTTCACTAGTGTGTGTTTTCTATTTCCTTTATTTTTCTGGCCTCTCTGGTGTTCTCTGTATGTCACACGTTCTTGTTTCTAATCTCCCCAGGTGTGGCTCCCGGAGGCACCCGGTCCATGGCTCTGGCCTGGTGGGTAACCACGTGCTGCTTTCTGCCAGTTGCCACAGCGATCGCATCTCCAGTGAAGTGTCTCACTGGCACAACCACTCCAGCTTGCTCCAGGTCCTAGTGAATCATGCCCATCGCTTCACCCAGTGGGTCCATTGTCACAGACTCAAAGAAATCAATCATGCTGGTTAAGCCCGGCCGCCTCTCTGTAAATCTATCTCTATCCAATTTGTATGTCTCCAGCGCTCTAGCTTAATCCCTGACCAAAGATCACAGGTTCCTTTCCAGTTCAGGAGATGGGCTTATAGGTATGTGGCTAACAATTCAATTCCTAAATTAAAAAACACACACAGATAAAGATGACTTGCTGTGTCTCTGTAAGCCCTCTGTATTTTCTTTTAGGAGGAAACCAACCAACCCTGTCACACATACTTTCTTTGATTTGCCATCCCTTCTGAAATACTGTATTTCTACCTTCTCTTTACAACTTCCTAATCATTTTTTCTCCATCCCTCTAAAACAGAGCCTAAAATATTTGTTCTATTATTTCTGCTGTCATCAATTATACATTTTCAGCCTCCAGGATATAGCGCTGCTTCCTGCTTGTTTTCTTCAGTCTCCAACACACACAAAGAATCCTCTTGTTCCCCGGAGAATTCCCTGGGCTGACACAGACTTGTCGGCTCACTTCAAGGCTCATCCTTCCGTCACGAGGTTGCTGAAGTCTCCACGCCACTCGGATGCTTCTCTCATGGACCCCCCGGCTGCCTGGTCCCTCCCTCCCGCTGCTTTGGGTACACGGCACGGGGTCACGGCTGCACAGGAAACTGCAGGCTTGTTCCCGTTACAGCCTGCAGATGAATCCCATCTCAGACTGTCCCGACAGCACGCACCGCACGGCGTTTCAGTGAAATCCTAGCAGTGCCGGCTCTCCCAGCATAGCCCCGGGCTCCGCAGGGCGCCAAGGTGAGGGCCGCTGACGTCGTCGTGTGCGGGGAGGAGCTGTGAGAGTCTGGGACGCTTCCTGAATCACACTGACGGGAGAGGTTCTCTTCCCTTCGGTTTTAGCATTCGGTACTTTTTACTGTGTTGAGATGTTCGAAATATGAAAACAGGTAATCCCTGCATCATATATATTTGGTAGCTTTTAATTAACTGGAAAACTCATTCCCAGTGAGTAACAACATTTTTCCTATGTTTCCGCACACTTTTCCTGTTGTTTTTACAGTCAGACAGATCTACGGATCCAAGTTAAACAGACGCTGCGGCCGCCACTGTGCGAGGAGCTGTGGAAAGCTGCTCAGGCTGGCAATTATGTGCGATATTCCATCAAACATACGGGTTATAGAAATGTAAGCTCGGGTAGAGATCTTATCCAAAGACCCCTTTCCTGCTTGTAAAAACTGAAATGTTTTGTGGAAACCCTGCCAGAGCAGGCCGCAGTGCCCGGCCCACCTGTCCCGTCATCAAGCCCTCTGTGGTCCCTGTTCCACCTGCACCCCTTGCTCCCCGAAATGCCGTCACCTGTCTACGGCAGCCCTCCCGCCCTCCCAGATGAGCCAAGAGGGACCCGCTGTAGAAACGCTCCTCCGAGAGGACGGGCCCGGATGCAGGAGCCACGGAGACGGGACATCTGGCAACCGTGGGGGCGTGTGGGGGCGGGGGCCGGGTGCCCGAGCCAGCGCCCAGGGAGAGTGACCCTCACTCACAGCGTCACACAGACGCCACAAATGACAGGGACACAGCACAGGGGCCCAGGGCACGAAGGAAAAAGTGCAGATCAACGTCCGGAGGGAGAGTCCTCTGTGACCAAGAGGAAGTAAGCAACCGACCGGCCCGACTGGGGGGCAGGAGGACCCCCTCGGACAGCAGGCTGGCCCTGCAGGACAAAGGCCGACTCCCGGAGCAGGACAGTAAGTGAATTCTGGACAAAATCTCAAAGCCTTCCTGAGGGCACGATGGACGAGAGGAAAGACAGGATGATTTCATATGTAGAAAGCGAATACTTTTTTTAGGGTAATGTCTCATTTTAAAGCTGACTTCTTCATAAGGGTTATTAGAACTCCAAAAAATTATTTCACCTCACTGTAAAAATACATAATGAATCATGTACTTTGTACGTATGGTACATAGGTTACGGGAGGTTTACTCTTTCCTATTTTTCATAGTTTAAGTAAAAAGTATGCCAAAAAAATCACATGAATGAAGGCCTCAGATTTTGGTGGGCACAAATGTTTGCGAGGCGCCACCTGAAATGCAGAGGTGAGGTGAGTTTAAGTCATTTTAAAGAGTAAGACTTTATAGTAAGAGTTCAAATCAGCAATACAGGGAATCCCAACAAAAAGGCCATGCCTCCACAATTGAGAAATCTGACTTATAAAATTCAGGTCCAGAGGAAATTAAGTTTATAGAAATAATAAAACAGATGCTACTTGAAACAAATTTATGTTTATATGTTATGTGAAAATAGTCCACTATCTTTAGTGTACTTCACGATGTTTTCTCATGTAACAAATAAAATTTCATTTTTCGGTTTATGTAACCCAAGTAGATATTTGTCTTTTTCAATATACTTTCCTTCCTAACACACTCCTAGCACCCGAGTATTTGCACCAAACACCTGCTCTGGCTCGAGGCCAGAGTCGCCAGGACAGGCTCGGTGGCCGCTGGGTCGGGGGCAGGAGGAAGACTCCTCCCACGCGCAGACCCTGCGGCCCTTACAGCAGCGGGCAGTGATGCCAACCTTTAATAAAAAGGGCAAAGGATAAAAAAAAAAAAAAGGGAGTGGCTGCTGACGACGGCAGAGCCAAGGAGGAGGACGTGAGCATGAAGCGTTTCTAGCGACTGGCAGATTTCCCCTGGATGGAATTCCGAGCGGCTGACTGGACAAAACACAGGAGAAGAAGGTGGCGGTGGGGGGACCTCACCCAGGTAAGAAATGGGAGGAAAAAGGAGGACAGAGGATGTTGTAGCAAGTGGTAAAAGGAAGTCGGGTTGTTACAAATTCAGCTCAAAAATAGACAGGAGGACGTGGAGAAATATCTCAAATAACAGAACGCACACGCGGGCACACAGCTCGCCGTGCATTTTTAGCTTTCGGCCGCAATGACGCGGGACTCACCTTTCGCAAACAACGGGCCTGGCCTCGCTCACGACAGGGCCGAGGGAGGAGCAGGCCTGCCTCGGCGGGGGCGCAATGGGCACGGCCGAGTCCAGCGAGCTCGCCTTCCGGTGGAACGCGTCCTGCGCCAGGGCTGCGCCCGCCGCCACCACCGCGACCGGGCCGTCTCCATCCGTGGGGCAGGAGCCGGCCCTGCCATGGCCACCGCCGAGGGGCAGCTCTGGGCCCACCGCTCCCTGCAGGGGCAGCTCACCGCCCAGCTCCAGGTCCAGGGTGGGCGACGCTGGGGGCGACACCCGCGGCTTGCGCTTGGTGGAGGCGCCAGAGAGCAACTTCAGCAAGCCCTTCTTTTCTTTCTAGAGAGACAGAGAAAAAAAGAATACAAGTTGGAGACGGACAGTACTATCGCTGCCGTAATCTATAGGGCCTTCCGGTTTCAATGTTTTATCTGCTCTTTTACAATTACTCCTGTGGACCTCTGACTATTCCTAACCTGGAGCGATTTCTGGGAGGCGTTACCTCGACCTTCTCCCTTTCCGCCCGCCCGCTTCTGTTGTTCTGGACATTCCATGGTTCGTTACTCTCTTTTGCTGAGGTAGGACAGGCAGATAAAAAGGATGCAAAACGAAAACCCCACCGATCCACCAATCCACACTGCAGGTTTGGTAAAAGCAGAAGCAGACGTTTTAGGATGCGACGGAAATTCCAGATTGTGGACGTAATTCCAGCACACTGTGCCTCCCCGGTCTCCAATCACGTAACGGCTGCCCGCGCTGAAGGGGATGAAGGCCTCACCTAACAGCTCCTCTCTCCCGGCCTCGGCCCCGGCCTTATCGCCCATGGCAGTGACCGGAGTTAAGGGCTGAGCCACTTCTCACATGTCACCACCTCGATTAAATTTAACAAGCCAAAAACAACGGAAGTTAAACCGTTTCTGTGGTGCTGGTACCTCCTTGAGTAGAAACCCAAAAATAACTCCACAAAATTTTAACGAAAAACGTCAGTACAGTCATCAACAATTTTATGTCTCCTTTTACAAGCAAATGCACAAGTAAGAGTTGTCCCCAGGAATCTCATTCTGCAGGAGCCATCTCTTAAAGTTCTGTCTCTTTTGATACTTTCCTCTCTGCTCTGCCAGGGAAGCAGGCTCTCCCAAACCCTAGGAGCCAAACCAAGCTTAACATCATCGCTGTTTCACTAAGATGCCAACTGTATCATCAAGTCCTTGGTATAGAAACACTGCTTGAAAAGGAAACATTTCCCAGAGAACTCTCTCTCTACAAAACTCTACAAGCAAATTGGAATTATTAAGGCCCTAACAGGGAAACAGAATTATGAGGGAGCCACTGAGGAATTTCTCTTGGGAACACAAGTTCGTTCGGACTCAGTAAACTCCTTGGGGAAATGACTGTAAATCCACAACAGCACGGTTCCAGCAGCAACAGTGCGGCAGGAAAAAGGGAGAGACAGGAGCGATCACTTATCAGGCCGGCAGGCGTCCCGGGGAAAGTGCAGCACAGTCGCCAGGTACCCATGGCTGCTCACGGCGCACGGGAGCCCCTGGGCATGTCCTGGGAAGGGGGAGGGGCTGGGCGGCAGGTCCAGCAGTCTCCTCTGTGCCTGTGCGGCCTGGGCTGCAGACGGCCAGGGCCAGCTGGCCTGCCCATCCCCCTCTGCTGCCTGAGGAAGATCCCTTGCGTTTCTCTTCGAAGCCTGGCCTCAGCTGACCTCACTGGCTTTGGCCTCACCCATTTGGGGCCCCATTTTCCGAGGGGCTGCCATGTGCATTCCAGCAGACACCCTCACAGACCCAGACTCCCCGCTCGCGTGCTGCGACCACACCCAGCGGCGCGTGCAGGGCCCGGGACAGCCTGCAGACCAAGGAAACAGTGGAAGAGGATGGGACCAACAGGAGGAAGAAAAAGTACTCAGCTAGTGCCAGGGCTAAGGAAACAAAAGAGGGTATTCTGGATTCCCCAAATCCAGAGAACTAAAGCCTCTCCTCCGCAAGACGGCCAGTGAAGTGGTGTGCCCAGACCCCCGCCAGGGCTGTGCCACGCTTCCTGCAGAGAGCTCGAGGCCTGGAGGGCCAGGACGTGGGCTGGCAAAGAATGATGCCCCACAGCTTCTGCTTCTAAGGCTGCAGTCAGCTGTAACTTCCAGCCACGGCCACGATGTACGAAAGCACGTCCTAACCCCTGGACCCCCACCAGTCTGGTGAGAACATCAGGTCCATTGATAGATTACAATCTCAGCAAGCTACGGCTAAAGACATCGCTTAAAAGCTCAGTTCTGAGCACTCATAAAAAAATATCAGATAACTGAATGGTACACAGGGAACAGTCTTTAAAGTGATTAAGAAGAAAGATGACTTGATTGATCTAAAATGATTAAAGACATTAAATACAGCGTGCTTTAATGACTTCTAAGGGATATGTTAACACCATCAACAATGCTGACTGCCCGTGGAGCAGAAGGCAGAGGATGAGGTACATGGTGGGGGGCGGGGGTGCGAGCAGGGGGCAGGTGGGGGACAGGGGGTACAGGTGGGGGTGCTGACACAGGAGAGATGCCACCCTTAGTTTCAGGAACTGCACTTTTAGTATCATTTTCTGCTATTTTCTGTGTTAGCAGAACAATGTGCCACATGAGAGATAATTTTGCAAAATCAGACACTTATCATCCAAGAGCACCTTTGTTTTTTTCAAAATCCAACAGCAGAAATGAAAACTATGGATGAATTAATAAAGACTACACTTCAGTAAGGCAATTTTAAAAATGTAATGTTAGCATGTCTGAGAAAGGGGCATATCTTTGAACATAAACTTTAATAATTCACCTCCTGTGAGTTCTCCAAGAAATTATTCCTAGATGAAATAATATTTTATAGTCATAATTTTCTTTTCAGAAGATTTGATGATTTAAAGCATCACATATTAAAAAAAAAAGAACTATCTGGGATATAAATGATCAACGGATAACCAAAAGGAATAATTTTTGCATGCAAAATGATTTGTGAATATCACCTTAATACCTTTCTAGTACCTGCATAACAGAAGATAAGCACAATATGGAAAACGTTAAGTCAGAGCTCCTTCCCAAGCAAAAACGCACGTTATTTGAGCAACTCACAATTAACAACATTTTACACATCGAGTCTTCCTCCCTACTCCTCTCCTTGCCCTCACATGTATACAGAAATTAACTAAAGACAGCCTTCCTGGGGCACAGGTCATCAATAATCTACACAGTCAGGCTCCCAATAATCAGAGTCATCGTTCTTAGGTGAGAAATCTAAAAAAATTAATGCATGTGACTGTCTAATAACAATCACTCATACGTTCAACAAATACTTGTGGAAGGTCTATATAAACAATGAGCTAGGCTCTGGGAATATAGTGAATACATAGTTTACTTTCTCTAGCAAAGACACAAACACAGCTATAAAATATGTGTTCTGCAGAAAAATAAAGCAGGATGGGGGCAGAGCGAAGAACCAGGAGATGCTGTCTGCGCCGGGAGGTCAGGAAAGGTTGCTTTAAAGAAGGGCAGGGAGGGAGGGAGAGAGGGGCCACCGAGAATTCTAGACATGGTTCAATACCACCAGGTTCAAGAATCTTGTTAAACACTTTTACAAGGATTTCCATATTTATTCCCGGCAGCAATCTAATGAGATGGGAATCAATTATTATTCTCATTGCCTAAAATCACACTGCTAGTAAGGGGTGCAAGTGGGATTTGAACCGAGCCCACACACTTTTCTCCCGTGAGCTCAGCACAGGCAACACTTCCCGGAGCACATCTGCTCGGCGAGCGCTCAGAGCAGACTCACGCGCCCAACACCTGCCGGTAACAGAGACTGCGCTTAGCCACGTCTGTGTGCAGATCTATGCTGTGCAGACCTGACGCAGATCCGGGCAGGGACAGTGATCAAGTCCACTTAACAGGGAGGATGGGCTTCTCCCTCCAAAAATTAACACATTGACTGTCATACTAGAAAAAATTTTTTTCCCTGGAGCCACGGTGTTTTATTACGAAAATAAAATAAAAACTTTGAAAACAAAATGATTCTAACTTCATGAAAAATGTTATTTTTTATTGTTTTCTGTGCATGAGTTGTATGCAATTAAACTGTCGATATGAACTGTAATCGTAAGAACGTCAACAAGTAAAATTTTCACGAACTAACAGCAGGCTTTTGCCCAGGGGGCCGCCCGTCACGTAACATGCGTGCTACAGCGCGGCGGCGTGAGCTGCCTGCGCAGCACGCAGCCCCCAAGGTGAAGAGGCGTGTGAGTTCCATGTGCCTCTCGAGGCTCCGCACCCAAAACTAGCGCTGAGTTGAATACAACTCACATGGCAGTTAACACGTTACATGGCAAAACACACAATCTTGTTTACAATAACAAAGTAAGAACTGGGAGGAAGGAAAATCATTTGAGCAAAGAAAAAGATCGGTATTTAGGAAAAGTGTTCAGAATAGAAGAGAATGAATATTTAAAAACTAGATAGGACCCGCTGCTTAAGAAAATCAAGAATAATAGGAAAGGTCCTCAAATAGCTGACTAATTGAATAAAACCTATGGTTGGCTTCTTAGGGGAAAGAGTTGTTGGCGATTTGGGGGTGGGGAGTTGGAGGGACCTTTTGTGGCCCACCTGCAGGACACTGTCTTTGAGGCACGCCCAGGTCACGGCAGACCACGCCAGGCCCCTCCCGCTGGTGGCGTGGAAGTGCAGGACAGGGCGGGACAGACCTGCAGAGCGTCTCTTGAGGCGGTGAGTCGGGGGTGGGGAAGGGAAGCATTTGGGGTCGGGAGGACCAGAGGCTGCTTCTCCTCTTTTTCTGAGGTGAGGGTGAAAACAGAGAATATGGGAACAACTACACAACTGTGCTGAACAAAATGATTTTTTTTCCCTGAATGAAAACTCAATACACCAAAATAACATGTTCTATTTTGGTATATAGGGGAAAAAACATATACACTGTAATATTAGTGGTTTGCTTTGAAATCTCAGATCATATTTAGGCCTTCTGTTTGGACATCTGGATTTTCTCTAACTTCTAACTAAATATGTATAATCTAAAAATTTTTTCTAAAAAAAACACATAAAAAATATATATATATATATACGCATACTAAATATCTCACCAAGATGGGCAAACACATTGCCTAGGAACGAGCAGATCACACAATGAAGCCTTTGAACTGAGTATGAAGTTAGAAAAACGCCCAGATGAAGCTGCTAAACCGATGGCCGTGTACACACCAGGCCTCACAGGAAGGAGAGGAGTGGCGGCAGAAAGGCCCAGGATTTCAAACAAGTAACAGCTGAGATGAAACAGGGAGTTTCAGATGCCGATTCATCGAACCACAGGGCTCAGACACCAAAGCTCGCTACAGATGGTGACTCAGGGACAGAAACACAGCTTCTGGAGATCCTCAAGATTTTGTGAGATAGGACTTCCAAATAAAACGTCACTCCAAAGGAGGAGCCCAGTTAAGAAGCTGCGACAGCCCGCCGCGCACACAGAAAGGCTAAACACCTGTGTGGGACACCAGTAGTGGTCCGCGGCAGAGCGTCTGGGGACAGGAAAAAGGAGGGGCAGCCGACACACCGTCACCTGGGGGACACGCCAGGTGCTGCTGGTGGGTTTGACCACATAGGTGATGGTCACAAAATGACGAGGGAAGGCAGAAATAACGGGGGCACTGTCAAATATCAAGATATTTGCTGGGACTCTCAACTAAACTTAGACTCTGTGATGCATTTTACCTCGACTTGCTGATGGTTTCATCTCAGGGAAAGTTGAGCAGACTGCAACTTTGGATCTCATGCTGATCAACCAGGGGGAAAGGCAGAGCTCGACAGGGGGTGGAGACATTCGGCTGGTGAAGCGGAAATGATCGAGAACGTGGAAGGAAGAACCGAAAGAGAAGCTGGCGATAGTCGGGTTTGAACTCTGAAGTTTAAAAAGAGCTGATTTTAAATGTTCAAAGAAGATATATGCATGACCTGAAACTCAAAAGGGAAGATGCTTCAAGAGGAATGGGAGGGCTCTCAAAAGTGAAATTCTAACCATACAATTGCAAATTTTCCCTGCAGATGAAAAAAACGTGGAGCCATCTAAAGGTACTGATGCGATCCCCCGGGGGGCAGCCTAATGGCTCAGATTTTTAAAGAACGTGTACAAAAAGATCAAGAGAAGGGTCTCTAACAAAGAAAATACCGTGGCCCACAGCAATCCAAGAAAGCTAAAGATCAGAATGAGCTTAAACTTGCAAAAATGCTAAAGACAAAAAAAAAATTTTTTTTTTAAGAGCTGTTCTAAAGTTATGTTTGAAACAAGAAAGACGCAGACCCGCTGTGAAGGATGGTGGTTCTCAGATGGCAAGAAGAAAGGGAGGGACAGTCTTCAGACTGGATATGGGGTGAAGAGATTGGGATTGCAAGATGAAAGGACTACTCTCAGCAGGGTGAATTCACCCCAGTGCACGGAGAAAATTAACAGCCGACATGCAGCCAATCGTCTGGAGAGATCCTGGCAAACCTGGGATCTGGGTCAACTCCACGGGCAAAGGAGGGCACGTGTAGTCCCAGTGTTCAAAAAGATGCCAATGAAGCACTCTGCAGAGCATCCCGGAAATCCTAGAAAGTACTAAAGGAAAGGTGTGGGAGCACTCAGGAGAAGGCCGTGAGACCGAGGAGGGGCTCTCCCAAGAGACGCCTGCTGACGGTCAGTAACAGCACTGTGTGGATGGGAGGACATAAAGGACACGTGGGTCTCTAGGTGGCACCTGGCAAGTTCTCCTGTGATATCTGTGCAGGTGCAATGCAGAAATGAAGGCTAAATAACACTCAAGTCGTGAGCATTCAAGATGCTTGACGTGAAAATCATCATGGAATTACGGAATTTATATCAACCAGAACAAATCTCTTTAGTGGACTTGGACATTAAATGAGGTAGTGGATTTAAGAAGGGAAAATTTGAAGTCTGTGACATGAAGAACAGGTGAAAAAAACTTCAAGAATATAGGCTTGCACTCTGGGAGGCCAAGGCAGGAGGATCACTTGAGCTCAGGGGTTCAAGACCAGACTGAGCAAGATTGAGACTCCATCTCTACTAAAAATAGAAAAATTAGCTGGATAGGAAAAAATCAGCCAGGCATGGTGGCGCATGCCTGTGGTCCCAGCTACTCGGGAGGCTGAGGCAGGAGGATGGCTTGATTCCAGGAGTTCGAGGTTGCTGTGAGCTAGGCTGATGCCACAGCACTCTAGCCTGGGCAACAAAGCAAGAGTCTGTTTAAACACACACACACACACACAAATAACCTTAGAACAAAGACGACACAAGGTGACAACCCAGCAAATACCTCATGGCATCACCCAGAAAGGAGATCAACGCTTTCTACGTGGCCCATCAAAACAGAGAACAAGGCTGGAAGGCTGAGCTGAGAGGCAGCTGTTTGGGCATCTGGGGGGAGGGCTCTAGGGCGGGGCACTTGCGAGGTCAGAGTGCCAAGCAGAGGCTGGGGCCATGGTCGGGTGGGTACTCAACAGGACGACATGCAAGGGCCCGTATTAGTTGGTACTATAACAAACTCTGTGGTCAGAAGTGGGTCCCAGCAGCAAGGCGTTGGCAGAGTCACCTTCCTCCTGGAGGCCGCTAGGGAGAATCTGTTTCCAGATTCCTGCACTGGTTGGCTCGCAGCCCCTCTCCCCCATTGTTCCCCCCTGCTGCCCCAGCAGGCCCCTCCCTGGCCCACCCTCTTGCCTTTGATGAAGCTCTTTGCAACTGCAATGGGCCTACCCAGAGAATCCAGAACAACCCCCTTGTCTTGGGCTCTTAATTCAATCACATCTCCAAGGTCCCCTTGCCAGGTAAGGAAACATATGTGAGGTTTCCAGGGATTGGGAGGCGGGCGTCTTGGGGAGCCAACATCCTGCCTCCCACAGGGGCCTTTCCAGCCTCGGAGACTCAGTGGATTCCACACGGGAGGGCTGGTGCCGAGAGCCCCTGTTCTCACCAGCGAAAAGGGCTCTGAGACTCATTGTCCCCAAGCCTTAAAATCTAAACTGTAACAATAATTCCTTAGAAGATATTAATAAAGTGGGACATGTCAGCTTCAGTATAAGTTCAACGTAGTTAACTATAAACACTGAAAAGATATCAATCTTTTTCAAAAAGTCTCACATTGGCTGGTCGTGGTGGCTCATGCCTGTAACCCTAGCACTCTGGGAAGCTGAGGCGGGCGGATCGATCAAGGTCACTAGTTCGAAACCAGCCTGAGCAAGAGCAAGACCCCGTCTCTACTAAAATAGAAAGAAATTGACTGGCCAACTAAAACCATATAGAAAAAATTAGCCGGGCATGATGGCACATGCCTGTAGTTCCAGCTACTCGGGAGGCTGAGGCAGGAGGATTGCTTGAGCCCAGGAGTTTGAGGTTGCTGTGAGCTAGGCTGACGCCACGCCACTCTAGCCCAGGCAACAGAGTGAGACTCTGTCTCAAAAAAAAAAGTCTCATGTTAGGCCGGGCGCTGTGGCTCACGCCTGTAATCCTAGCTCTTGGGAGGCCGAGGCGGGCGGATTGCTCAAGGTCAGGAGTTCAAAACCAGCCTGAGCAAGAGCGAGACCCCGTCTCTACTATAAACAGAAAGAAATTAATTGGCCAACTGATATATATATATATATAAAAAATTAGCCGGGCATAGTGGCACATGCCTGTAGTCCCAGCTACTCGGGAGGCTGAGGCAGAAGGATCACTCGAGCCCAGGAGTTTGAGGTTGCTGTGAGCTAGGCTGACGCCACAGCACTCACTCTAGCCTGGACAACAAAGTGAGACTCTGTCTCAAAAAAAAAAAAAAAAAAAAAAAGTCTCATGTTAACCCAACAATTAAATATTAACTTTTCGGTAGGCTGTAAAGTTTATTTCCTTATAAACCCCTGTTTACAGGCTTGCCTAACCATTTAAATAGAGCAACACACATTACCACTGAACCAGGTGGCTAAGAGCTTACAATTACTCTAAAACTTCCCAGTTCTGGTCTAGAGCTTTAGGGAAAATGCGTGAAACACTGGGGAAAAAGTCATGATTACAATAAAATCACCCAGGCCTATTATCTATCACCTCTTCTCTTTCTGCTTACATTTAATCACTATTAATTTCTCTTGCCTCCAACCATCTGTCTCCACCTGGAACACAGGTTAGTCTTTCAAACATAGCTTTTCCATTTATATTTTCTTTAAAATTTAGCCCCAAATGAGAGATTTTCAAAAAAAATCTATGGAATTAGAAAATAACTTTTCCCTAAATTTCAAGTCTTATCTCTCAAGGAACCACGCTGATTATGGTCAGAGGTACTGTAAATAAAACAAATCCACAAATAACACTCATAATTAAGTCTCGACCTCTTCATTTATCAAAGTTGTGTTGCCCCCCCCCCCAACGGTGGACCAGCAAGACTGACTGAGCAGAAGAACCGCCGACAGCGAAGTGGCGCAGGAACGAGCAACCAGAGGGGAAGGAAAGCGCTCCGTGTGACCGCAAGCTGCGCGAGGAGCAGTGGCGCCTCCTCCTCTGCCTGCCCTGACGTCCACCCAGGCCTGGTGACCGGGGTGCTTGAACACAGAGGAACACAGATGCAGGCAGGGGACAGGGTGGTGGCCACGCTTCCCCCCTGCCCCTCACGCCCGGCAGTGACGCACAGGCGGGGAGCACCTGGAGGACCCGGACAAGGAGCCCTGCCACGGCTGGGAGGGCAGGGAGGCAGGAACTCATCTTACTTTGCTGTCCTTGTCGGGTCTGGACGCCGAACTGCTCCCGCAAGCCGAGGAGGCGCTGTCAGGAGACGTGGGAAGTCCGGGCAGGATGGTCGCCGTCCGGCCGCCCGGCTCGTTCTCCAGGGCGCCGGCAGCGATGCTCGAGGAGGTCAGAGAGGCGGCCGCCATGCAGGCCAGGGGGGCGCCGGCTCGACTGGCCCCGACAGTGGCAGCGTGGGGGGCAGAGCCTGCTGCAGGCGGTGGGGGCTGGGCAGAGGCCAGCGGGTGGTGGGGCAACCCCGCGGCCGCAGGGCCGAGGCAGGCGGCGTTCTGCACCTGGATGGGCGTCACTGCTGCCGTGGGGCGCTCCTGGCTGTGTGCGGCCACTGGCGGACGACAGGAGGGAACACGGCAAGACTCAACTTTCTAATAAATGCTACTCACCGAAGCCCGAGTCACCTCACCGCATCATACCCCAGTCAAAGGCTGCCACAGCATTTAGCGCAATGAAGAACGGACATGTGGCCGTCTAAAAGTCCACTCAGTCCTTGCTGGGTTCCTAGAACCATTTTTCTGCCGGGTCAATCCTCAAGTCTCAGGAGTGCCTGGAAGCTCCGCTCTACCTCAGGGGCCTCTGGTGGGAGACGCTGAGCCACTTCGTGATGGTGCTGGATGGCATCAGTGTCACCCTCCTGTCCTTTCCCTTTTCATTCATTCCCTTTTCTTATTAACTATGTCTCCCCCTTTTTTGGTTTTCCTGGTAGAACTCACAAGCCTTTAGAAACTAAGAAAGCTGTTTGAGAGCCCACTGGGTCTAAAGCAGACATGATTAATTAAGCTCATCGGAAATAATCCGTCGCTGGTTAGCAGAGTGTCACGCCATGGTCACACAGCTAGCAGCAGTGACAGTGACCACAGAAGTCACTTTCCAGTATATGGACATGCGTGGTATCAGCCCAATCTCTCTCAGTCGTGAGATCTACAGATCAAGCTTGAATTAACGTGCAGGGCAGGCTTAGCCCAAATAACAGATATCAAGTGCCACCGACTAGGCTGTGCCTGTTTCTATGTCCCACCGTCACTCGTTATTTTACCATCACATCTACTTTCCTCAGCATCTGTCACAAACGATCTGCCGTCAGGTCGGTAACCTCTCTCCCCAGCGGGTCCCCCCCCCACCGGTCCCTCCGTACCTGTCCTCACCGCGCTGCGGGCCTGGCTGACGGTCATCTGCCCGGCCATGTGCAACAAGACCTTGGCCGGCGGGCTCGTATGGATGTGTGCGGCTGACACCACAGCGGTGGGGACCACGCTGGGACTCCCGGCCACGCCGTTCCCCTGGAGCTTCTGGGCAGGCCCCCCTGAAGCAGAGGGACTGACCATGGTCACCCCCCGGCCCGACTGGCCAGCCGTGGACATAGGGACTTTCACTTGGGAAGCGCTTGTCACCGCCCTGCCAAGACAGAAGCAGACGGGGAGCCCCATCCCTCAGCAACGTGGGAGACAGAACAGTTAACGCAAGAAAAACGACTCAGAGCTTTAAAGACAGAACATTTTAAAAAAAATGAATGGAATTATTTTTCACAAAGCTCAAGAATAGAGAATCCAAAGTAGTGATGGCCCGAGGCAGAGAAAGGCCTTGAGATGCCTTCTGAGTCACCAGGAACTACATATTGTGCTCTGCTCAAGGTCACCGTCCACATCAAGGCCAACCATCCCCATCGGCTCTCCAGGCCCTGAGTTCCCCTGCTTCGCCTACAGAACGAGCCAGCGGTGCCCCTCATGATACTCACACTTTCATGGCTTTGCTGCTATTTCCCACAGTCCTCCTACCTGCCTCCAGCCCCTAGCACATGGCTCCTAGGCATGTGCACACTCGCACACAAACACGCTATTGGAATGTCCTTTCTGGTTTTTACTGACCTACCTCAATTTCCTTTATGTTTCAAGATCTAGCACAAATCCCGTTATTTAAGAAGTTCTGCCTAAGGTTCAGGTTTAAGACCGTGTGATTATACTGTTTCATGTGGATTCTGTCCTTTGTTCTGTTTCTATCACAGTTGTTTTTGGCTCTTGATCATAAAATGTGGTGTATTACTTTTTAATAAATTCCTTATTAAACACTGCTGACTCAGTAAACACTCCGTGAAGGCAGGGCCAGTGTGAAATGGTTCTTCCCTATTCATCCCGTATCTGCGACTCACAGGGGTAGAGCCAGCCCTCAACAGCTACTTACTGGTTGAATTTAATTAAATTAGGTTCAACACGGTGTGGTAGAATGTATTTTTTTATATTCTGACTTCACTCTATGATAACAATTCTGTATACAATAACTTCCTGCTAAGTCAAATACCTCATTAACTGGAACATCCTTAGCATTTACCATGTGCATAATAACAGAGTTTACTGAAAACAAGCATGGCTCCAGAGTTAAACAAGAACAGACTTTCAATAATTTGTTTTTGAGTCTTATAAAAATGTTTTCCTCTATTATATTCATTTTTTGTTGCTGTTGTTTGTTATACTTCCCTTATGTATTATTATTATTATTATTTTGCACTGAGGAGGTCTATCTGCTGTGTTTCGGGATGGGCTAGATCCTGAATACTGATTTTAACGTATGCAGAAAAGAAGGTTTATATTGATTAAAAATTTGCAAGTCAAATGAAAGCTAGCATTCTGTCACCATCTGCAACAATAGTGATTCTCATTTGATTAGGCTGCTGGCCAACCTATAAATCAAGGTCAACAGCTGACAAACATGTCAGTTCATTAAGCTGTTTGTTTAAAATCAGGGGGTTTGAGGAATGATTTAACAGTTAAACCTGGACCATTTATTAACGGTCAGTGGTCAAAAGCCAGGGCTCCCTCAGTGCTGAGTTCATTACAGGTCATGTCACTATGTTTCCAAAGCTACTTCCCTTAGTGACCAGGTATCCTCAAATAAAATGAAGAAAATCTTACATATCTAGAGCTCCAATCATCCTATAACAGGATCTCTCAACTTTGGTGACATTTTGGGCCAGATTCTTCTTTTTTGTGGGCAGCTGCCCTTTGTATTACAGGAGGTGCCGTAGCACCCCTGGCTCCTACCCACAGACGCCAGCAGCACCCCCACCTCCAGAGTGATAGTCACCAACACGTCCAGAGACTGCCCTGGGTGAGGAAAACCACCCTCAGTGGAGAAGGATCTATGCTATCTTTAAAAGTTTTTATTTTTGACCTATTATAGAATTACTTGCCAGAATTCAGAGTAATCACCGAATTAATGGAATAAATATAGATCTAGACCACCTGGAGATTGAGCACTTCCTCACTGTGTGATCTCAGACAAGTTATTTCATCCCTGTGTGCCTCAATTTCCTCATCTATTAAATGGGGATTACGGCAGCAGCTGCATCAATGAATGGCTTAAGGAATTAAAGGTAATCAGCATAATGCAGTTTAGAGATCTGCCTGCCTGGCGGACAGTAAGCATTATTTAAATATGTGAGTGTTAATTTGTTTTGTTTATATTAAATACCATGCTTTTTATTTTCTAGTAGAAAAATATTGAAAATGGTATAGTTGAGTCTTCTTACAGATAAATTAAAGCAAATAACTTAAAACCCAGTATGTGTATTGGTAGAAATCTATAACATCACATATATCCATGTGAACAGTAAGCTAAGAATTTCAGAGTTAGAAGGGATTTTAGCAGATAGATGTAGGGATTTTAAAAACTCTGGCTACCTAACAGGCAATTATAATGTGAGAAGGGATCTGCACAGGCTGAAAACCATGGGAAAGAACAAAGCTTTCTGCTTAGAACTTAGGAAACCATCTGTTCTTAGCCGTACCTTGTGACTGGTGCCACGTAATTGCCAGGGAAAACCCCTATCTTGCTGGTGTGCATTGATGTTCCTTTGAACCAGCCGTCCTGGCAGCGCTCAAACACCAAGAACATCTCCCCTTTCCTCAGCTCTAGTTCATCCTCTTTCCGGGGAGTGTACGGATATATAGCAACAAACCTAGAACAGAGAAGGATATTTGATTTCAGGCTGAGAAACAGATAAACCCCAAGATGCTCAGAACTCTTCCCTGGTACAAAGTCTTGGAACATTTTGTACGAAAGCAAACAGAGAGTATAATCCTGTAACCTGTAGGCAGCACTGGCGATTGCCCTGGAAGAGGTTTTGTTGTCTACATTTTAAATTCAAGAAAAGGCCTTCCTGATTAGTAACTGCTGACTCCACTCCTCCCGGTGTGGAAGTGACTGTCCCCACCAAATGGTATCCGGCAGCGTGGGAGAATGGATGCAGCTTCCAGGAGTGCCTGACTTGCTGCTAGGGAGTATGTACCTACCGGGACAATTAAGCTCTTCGCATGGCACTTGTTGGACTTGGGAAATAGCCCCAGTGAGCACATATGGTAGGAAACCCCACCGGGAGGCACCACATGCTGCCTTCCACACGCAAGCTGCACCTAGAGGCTTGCGCTGCACCTGCTTCTGTATGCTCAGCAAGGAGTTAGAGCAAGGAATTAGAGCGAATTTGAAGAAGTCAAAGGAAAAGAAGGTCTAGATCACAGAGGGTACATAAAAACTCCACAACGCAAGGTGATTGTACCCATGAACACATGGAAACCAGGCAGGCAGCACTAACCCACAGTTCTCACCAGTGCCGTGTATAAACTCATGCAATGCAGGGTCCACAAGAATCAAGTCGTATTCTGCCATCAATAAACTCTCAACAGGATAATTAGACTTTTCTGGATACTTACTGCTGGGGACTTACAGCTTTTCACATTCACCTGCCAATTAGATCTAGACCTGATTTGTGTGGAATGCCTCTCTGTTCATTACTATCCTAACTCAGGAAACGACAATGAAGATAAAAACCTCGAACAGGAGTTGCACTACAAGCGCAGTTCCGTCAACATACACTATCATACAGCGGCAAACACTGTGCTTCCCTAAACTATGGAAGGCCTTCACTCAGCGGGGTGCGAGCGGGCAAGCTCAGGGGTTGGGCCCATTTGGTGTCAGCTGTTTCCTAATTATATGCACAACCAGGCAGAAGCTTGAAGAACACAAACCACTTGGTGAGTCTTAAGCCCGTCACCAGCTCGTATCAGAAAAGTCTTTCTCTACGTCTGCTGTTCAGACTCAGTTTGAAACGAAGACTGAAGCAGTAATAAATGACACCCTCACTTACACGCTGGGGCGGGTCTGAGGCCGTAAATGTGCAATCTGGTCAGCGGATCCTGCCCCGGGCCGCGGTCCCATTCCAGCAGCAGCAGCAGCGGCGCCTGGTGGGGTGGAGGTGAGGACAGTGGCAGCCAGGAGAGGCGGTGGGGGAAGAGGAGGATTCAGAGTCTGATACAGAAAAAATAAAGAGGGGGAAAAAGGGAACAAAACACCAATTTACATCTTCGATGGAAGGTGGGGGGGAAATGGAATCAGAAATCCACGGAGCAAGCCTTTTCTGGAATCCACACAGAGAATCAGCAGGCTACCTTGTATGAAAGTCCCCCTTTACAAATTCACCTCTTCTTCTCCCTTGAGATCTTAAAGCCACAGCAACCTTTTCAGCAAACAGGTAAGTAATCACCGTTGGGAAGGGGCAAAGAAAAAACGAAACGATTGCATGTAACTTTAAGATTAATGGTACTTTTTAAGTACGGACGTGGACAAGAATCCCAAACGCCTTTTGAGGGGGCAGCTGTAATGCCTCGCTGCTTGCTAGGAATTAATCTGTGATTGTTTCTGTGACCTGAAACCTAAACACGACTCAAAACAATCTAGCTGTACTGTATCTCAAATCATCCCTTCTGAAGAAAATTTGGCTTTGATGCTGGTCTCCAAAACGCCCAAACAATGGCAAGCCACAGTCACTGGGCTATTGTTGATACTTTTAGCTTATTCTTTTCTTAACTTCGCCAGCTTTTGAAATTTGGTACTATCAAGGCTGGTAATCTTTAACAAGTATACCAGTGAAAAGCTGCTGGTTCCTTTATGGGCACAGCCTAATGGTGTTCTGCCTACAGGATTCCATGCCTTTTGAAAATCAATGGAGCAATTGTTACCTTCTGATCTATAAACCCCAGATAATTCTTCAGGGTCTGTATACCGAAACTCCTGGGAAAACAGGCACACAAAGACTGCCTGATTCCCCACCTCGCCCTCCCCAACTCTTTGAACCACTAGATGTAAAAACAAACTCAAAGGAGAAATAAGGAGACTAAAGAATGCACCTAGGAAAGTATATAAATGGCTTCTACACACAGCATATTAACAAAAAAATCCAATGATTTCAAAACATAACTCATCATAGCCATTTTATTTCTATTTTCTGTAATAACAATTTGAATCTCATCAACATTTCCTTCATCTGTTAATATACATAGCTCCAGAAATACAGTAAACTGAGCAGAAAAAAATTTCAAACTTCTAGACATATGTTGCAACTGTTTCACATATTATATTTAATTTTTTTGCTTAAGTGACTTTCAGTAAGGATTTTTCCCCACACTGCAGCTGAAGTTGTTGCAGAAATGAATGAGGTGCCGAGCTGCTTACAGAGTGCTAACCTGGACAAGGAAGAGGTCAGTTCAGAGTTGGAATGTCATGAAGACATTACTCACACTGTCCTTACAAAGCATGGCAGCATCGAGGTTTGTTATAGCTCTGGAATCTGCACATACGGGGGCTTAGAGCCCCTAAACCCTTGAACACAGAAGGGCAAGCATTCACTCCGTCAGGCCTCCTTCCAGTGACAAAGCAGAGATGAAGATAATCCCAGCACAACACTCAGCAAATGTGACCTGGCGGCTCACGGACAATGATGCAGCCGCGGCCTGACGGGTGAGATAACAAGTCTACACTGTACATGAAGTAGTACACGGAGAGACTGTAAAATTACCACTTAAGTGATTTCCATTTAAATCGTTCTAAGCCCAGCCTCAAAACAGCGTGGCTGCGGGAAGGCAAAAGACAAATGGCACAAGCTCAGTAAGGAAATTAAAATTCTCCATTATAGCCTAATTTCGTTAAGACAGAAGCTGTAAAAATTGGCCCCAAGGAGAAAAAGGCAGAAAATATGGACCTGATAAAGACACATTTCGTGTTTTGTTAATAACATCTAGAGAAAGATCACTCATCATTACAAAATACACGGAGCCAATGTTTCATGCACATCACTTGCGGAGTGAGACGCTCTGGAGATACTGCATCAAAGAGGATACTCTGAAAGATCCCGAGAGATCCTGGGCCTGAGAGAAAGTAGTTCTCTCTCTTTTTGACGTTGAAACATAGATAGTCTAAATAAAACTGGGCAGATTTTTTTTTCCCCAATGCTGGGTAAACATGCACATGTTTGCACGTGTATTAGCGTGTGTATGCGCACACAGATGAAGATCAAGAGACAAAGTCTGATTAAACTCGGATTCCTAGATGTTGCTTGGTCCTGCAGGGTTGATAAACTCAGATTCCTAGATTTGCATGGTCCTGCGGGGCTGGTAAAATGACAGGGCCCTGGTGAGTCCAGGGCTGTGGCAGAGTGGGAAGTTCTGTGGTTGCTTTATAAACAACCTCAACACAAATAATCTGGTGATGTGGAAGTTCAAAAGGTGAGCCACTGGATATTGTGCTTCAGGCAGTTTGCTACCCTGCAAGACCTGAAATTTCTGCAGAGCAAACCACACGGCCTTTCGTTCACCCCGAGGTGGCCTGGACACCTGCCTGTTACTGCCTAGTCTGGGCCGGCCTGGGCACCAGAGGCCAAGACGCACTCTCTACTAGCAAAAAACATCTATGGACCTGCTAGTGCCACATTCTGTTGACAATATTTTGTTCAATAAAACTGGAACTTAGAAATGGCCTGCTAAAGGGAAATGGTCACACTTCACCATGTCCAGGTTTTGTTCTCCTGACCCGCTGATCCTAGAAGTTGAGGCAGTGCTGTGCTGTGGAGGCAGCATGGGCTTTGGGGTCAGAAAAACACAGGCTCCAACCCCGACTCAGCCCCTCCAGGCAGTCCTGACTGCCCTCCTTCGCAAGAGCGAGCTTGCAGGATGGAAGCGCCGTCTCTCTGGGCGGCAGCATTTCAGGACACTGACACGCTGCGCTGGCCAGTGGACACCAAGTGAAAAGTTCAAGTACACGGGTACGAAACCCCTCCTTTCTGGCAACTCTCTCCTCCTCTTGCCCTTTCGTGCGACCAGCCCAGGGGAGTGGTTAGATCTGGATTTGTCTAAGAGCAGGGAAATGATCCAGCGCTCCTCAAGCCGGGGCCAAGGGCTACCGGCCAGCGTGCCAGCGAAGTGCTCTGCACTGGAGTTTTGGGCACAGGTCCAACCGACAATAAAGGGTTTGCTTCCTTCCCAACTGTCCTGACGTGTCCACCTCCCAGGGCAGAAAAGCGACGGGCAGGATGGACTGAGTGTTTGTGGGTCTCTTGGGCAGATTTCATTTAACATTCCCCAGCCCCTCATCGTTTCTTTCTAAACATCTGCTTTCCAATCAACTCACTTTCAACCCTGAACGTCAGCATCTCTAAAGGGTCTCTGTACTGCACTGAGGTGGGTGCACACTGGGGATGAGGAAATGCCCCACCCGCTGTGCGGGCACGCCCTCCCCAGTCCACAGCGCCAGCAGCGTCCGCAGCACGACCACCTATGTGCATAAACTGTAGACTTCTCCTGCCACACTTGCTCCGTGAGGAGAGAGGTGCCTCTACCAGCTAACTGTGCACATTCTGTGCAGTCTCTACGCCTCACCTACCAGTCTGAGAGAGGGACTGGACGTGAATACTCAGAAGCAGTTCCCGTAGCTGCCTTTCTCCGCATCCAGAAACACACAGCAGCTCGGTAAACGGAGGCTACTGTCAACCCTCCTGAGAACAGGAAGGCACAGACTGTCACTGTCTCCGTATCGCTGGCACCTAGCGTGGCAGCCAGAAGATGACAGATCCTCAAGGAGTGCTTCACAAATGAGAACTCCGTGATTCTACACGCCCATTAGAACAATATGATATGGAACAAGAGGCTCAGTTCCTCAGAGGCCTGAGTCCTTTTCTGTTTTGACCATATCCTAACCCATGTTCTGATTTTCAGATCTCCTGCCAATTCCAAAGGCTCTACTTCTACCTCTCAAACCACCAAGGCGGTCCCAGGCCCCACTCCCAGAGCCCATCCCCGAACCTGCTATCAGCATTAAATTCTGCTTCACTTCCACCCCGGGCAACAGTGGACTCACTACATACTGGTTATTCTGAGGACCTGACATCATTAAACTTTGTTTCTTTAAATAAACACACACGAGTGTGTGTGTGTGTGTGTCTATAATATTTTTAAATTAGAGTTATACATTTTTGGAATGCAATTTGTTTATAAGTTGGCCATGGGTAGTATTTAGCCTCTATTGACCTTCTACCTTATAACATCTTGCAGCTAAACACCTCTGGGCTGACGCAGAGGATCTGGAGTTATTAATCACTTGTTTTAAAAGTTCTTCTGCCATTGTACAGAAGATACAAGACTAAGATCTTTGTCATCCTCCCCAACAAAATGACTAAAAAAAAAATTCACGACTATTCATGGTCTTGAGTTAGATACATATAATATCAGTTTTGCTCATAATGTTACATATTTAAAATTTTAACTGTTACATGTGAAATGTATGGGTCAAAATGCCCATAACTTCATTCTGCATAAAAGATTAAAAAGTCTCAATTCATAAAAAAAGCACTAGAAATAATTATCATTTTCTATTCTAGTGGTGACATTTATTACCCATAAATCTACACCATGAAAAGCCTGCTTTCTTTTCTAAGCTGCCAACTATTGCTGTGATAGTACTCAGGGTCTTAAGAAACATTTCAAATTTTAAATAGAATACTTGCCACAATTAACATAGGAAGCAGAGGGCACATACTGCTGAGATTTTCCCACTTAAATCTAACATATTAAATCCAAAACATTTATGCCAACCTATCAGGGACTTTAAGTTCTAGACATCTCCTGGGATGACAGACAGCTCTGTTTATAATTAGTGTTCATTAAATGGAATTGGCACCGTAGACATACTGGGTAGTAAACCCTCCTCTTGCTTAACAAGCAGGCTCTCTTATATAACCCTATGCTACAATGGCTAGATGTAAGTTAATGTTCGAATATCCATGCCCTGTTGAGACCTGTCCCATTGGTCTGCCCTCCAGGGAGCCCTCGGCTAAAAGCAACCGGCCATTTACTATATTATAGATTTTCGGCCTATAAGGGTTGAAATTCAGCCAGTCTTACATCTTTTCCACCACAGGTTGAATATTCCTTATCCAAAATGCTTCGGACCAGAAGTATTTTGTATTTTTCTTTTTTCAGATTTGGGCAAATTTGCATTACTGGTTGAGCATCTCAAATCTGAAAATCTAAAATCTGAAATGCTCCAATGAACATGTCATTTGAATGTCATGTTGGTGCTTTAAAAAGTTTTGGATTTTAGGGCATTTCATTTTTTAGATTTGGGGTACTCAGCCTATAATTAATTTTTCTATTATCAGAAAAGTTGGTCTTTTTCCCCCCTTATGAAATCAAGTAGAATTTTTCTATGTAAGGTAGTGGTCTGGAAACAGAAATAGAAACTGGGTGTGTGTAAACTAGGGGTGGGAAGCAGAGTGAAGAGTCTCCCCTAGAGACGAGAGGACAGGGTCAGATACTTGGGGCGAACAGAATCTCATGGAAATCAAATTTCAATAGGAGTTAACTGAAATTCATCTTTCCCCCAGATGAGTCAAGGCAACCTCTCCTTCACCAAACACTTGTATTATCAAGGAGACTGTAATCAATCATTCAGGAAACATCTGAAAAAAAACAACTTTAACCTCTAACTACATTATTAACTTCCATTTAAATACAAGAACATGCTTAACTCTAAAGGCTTTCAAACATCTAAGTTAAGCTAGGTAATAACTCTGCATTTACTTACATCCCACCTTGTTTCAAATACAGTTTTCAATTATTTATAAAATATATCAAGACAAAATAAATAAGAAATAAGAAAAAAGAGGCCAGTGGAAAACGAGGCCGATAAAACTGGATGGAGCCAACATTTCGACTAATTGCGCTGTGAGGTCCCTGCTGGAGGGGATACAGATCCGGCTGTGAGCATTCTAGCAGAGGGAAATAAAATCTTTACAATGTGTATAAAACCCACAACCTAAAAACAAACCAGCTGCCGAGAAGCCTCACTATCCCGGGTGCAGAGAGCCAGGAAAACCATAACAAAGTAACCCGGTCCTCCAAGGCATCGCCTGCCAGGCCCAGCTCCCAACTGCCCTCAACAGAAGGCCCACAGTGAGATCCACAATGGTCATCCCTTCCTGTGTCCCAGCCCTGAACGGAGACCATAAATCTCACTCTGCAGGTGGGATGCTGAGGCGTGCAGAGGCCGAGAGCCTTTTCCATGGTCACCCAACATGTAAGTGGCTGAACCGGGCTTCTGACTCCGGTCTGTGGCTGCCTCTCACCAGGACAGGCCGCTTCTCTGGGAGGGTCAGGCGTGGGTGGGCAGGTGACGCAGTGGTCCGGGGACTGGGGCGATCTGATTTAGTAATTCTTTTTGGTGGTGGTGGTGTGCTCCAAGGGAGGCCTGAATAATGACCTTTTCTGTCTTCATTCAACTCAGTGCTGAAACAAATAGTCTGAAAATACAACCTATAAGGCATTGGGCTGGATGGGTGAGGTCTCACAATTGCTAGTTCCTTGCCTACAATTTTAGGAAGCAGTGACCGCAATACTGTGTGTCTCTACTACCTCCACTTGCACTTGCTTGTTTCTTCCCTTTTAATTTTCTTTCCACAGTGGGCCTCTTCTTTGTATATCTCTCTGGGCTATCCTAATCCTCCGCATTATTTTCCCCTGTTTTGATATTTTAAAGCAATTAGTGTTGAGACTCTACCTGTGGGATATTATGTTTTCAGAAGGAAAATTAACATAATGTAAGGGGGCCTTCCCAGACAGCAGCGGGCACCTCTAGGCAGCCACAGCTACAGGCTGTACCAACAGAAGAAATCAAAGGATGAAACCTCAATGTAGAGATTTGGTATCAATTCATTGTGTGACTCAAAGCCAACCATTGGCCTATAGGGCCCGTTTTCTCAGTATTTCTGTAAAGGCGTCTTTATGAGAAATAAGCAGGATCTAGAAACTCAAAAGAAATAAAGGTTAAGCCTTCAGAAAATCAGATTGAACTTTAATGAAAATTAAATATATTTCTCAGAGTTCTTCTAATAGCTTCAGGCTACTGATCTCCACTGTCAGAAACTCTGCAGGCTGCAGACAAGGGGCTAATTGTCTGCTAAAATTAACAGAGCTAACAGATGAAAGAGTGAGATCCACCTCCCTCAGCAAGTGCCAACCTAAACGCAGGAGTCAGGAGGTGGAGTGTGCCAGACGAACGTGACCAAACGCCTGAGAGAGAAACACAGACCCGGGAGAAGCCATACTCACGCCAAGGGCAGCCTGGTAGGGAGCGTCTGACGGGAAAGTAAACGAGGGGCCGGTGGTCACCGGGCTGCTCGGGGGTGGGGTCACAATTAACCCGGTGGTACTTATATGAACCTGCCAAGAAAAAAAAGTTATTAAAGGAAGACTGTATTTAATAGGACAGATGACACTGGCTGAACCTCGGGCAGGCGAGTCACATTAAAAATAAAACCCTAAAGTTTCTGTTAATTTGAGAGTTGAATCCCTTTCAGTTTATTTCACCCAAATTTACTGGTTACCTGATTTGTACCAGGCAATTTTACTAGACGCAGGGGAGTCATACGATACATACTGGCCCCTACGATGCTGCACAATAACACGCGTCTCCTTTTTTCCGGCGCCACGAGTCAAACTGACCTCTCGACGGTCAGCCCGGTGCTCACTGGCCTAACCATTTCCCCGAAGATCCTGTGGAGGCCGGTTGTGGCTACACACTCACCCGTCTGTCAGTATGGTAAATCTACGTGGAAGTCTCACGGTGCTTGGCTGTTGTCGGGATCATTTTTCAGGACTTCCACCTTTCAGTGGGGATGCGAGATTAAAACGCAGCTGCCTGGACATGCCTGCAGCAGCCAATTACTCACAAACCTTTACAGGAACAATGTCAAGCCAAATTAGTTGTTTTCAAAGGTGTCTTCTCCATGACACTGCCCAAGATTAATTTACTTGAAAGAAATCAAGTTATTCAGGCCATTTCATGGCCTGTGTTCAGCTGCTCGATCAATTTCGCTCAGGCTGCAAAGCGGGCCCGACCGCAGGGTGTGGTGTGTTTGTTACTGGGAGCTGCAGAGTGAGCAGGGCTCCTGCAGAAATGGCTCTTCCCCTTCGGGGAAGGGATGCACTGTGGTTGGCCAGTGCCTTGTATCCCCACGGAAATGATGACACACCAAAAAAATGCAGGTTTTTAATAATAAAATTCTAATCGGAAATACAGTCACCTCAACTCCCATAACTTAAGAAAAAGATGATCAGGACAAGAAAAGCTCAGAGACTGGTTCCCAGAGAGCCTGAAGGAAGCTTTCAGTGTCTCCCTGGGACAGGCCCCACCAAGGCCAGGTAATCAGCATCACAGCGCATAACTTACTTTCACAAATACCTCCGTGTTGGTGTGGAGTCCACAGCCTTTCCCAGCACGGCTGTGTCTGCGTATTGGCTGGACCTAAGACTTGGACCCTGGTAGATCCAGGGGCTGCCACTACCCAGAGTTTCTCCCCGACCCTCAGCTTCTGCCTCTCCTGTGAACCAAAGTCCATCTCCAATCTACTTTCTAATGGGAAGCGCAGGGGATTCTCATTCTGGCCTTTAGCTGCATTATCCAGCATCTCCATCTGTATACACACTCCAAGCACAGCCGTAAGTCGGCACCACACGGAAGAGGAAGCCTTTCTAACAAGACGCAGTGGAGCTTGCCTTGAAGTGGACATCACTCTCAAGGAAACTTTGGGGCAGAGAAAACGTGCCAGACATCCTGGGTCCGACCCTACAAATGCCTGAGCGAGATTTCATAATTGACCGACGTTTCTCCAAAAGCCCCAGACTGGGAGTCGGAACGATGTGTCTCTGGACCCCCGAGCAGCTGGGCCAGAGGCTCCCCGCGGTCGCCGCCATCGAGACACAGGAGGGAGGCACTGAGCCCGGGCGACACAGGAGGGAAGAACTGAGCCTGGACAACCGGCAAGTAGCACCTGGCATGGGCTGTTCCCACCACTGAAGCAAAGGCAGAGATGAAACCACCAAAGACAACTGAAAGCAGAAGCACAAGCAGCAGAAGGGAACTGACTGGAGCTAAGCACGTCAGGATAAACACCCTGGATGGGGACAACCTAAGTTTCAGTCGGGCTCACCCTTTTCTCATGGAACCACAAAAGTCAGTTCAGTCTCCTCTACCAGAAAGGCTGCGTGAAGAGGGCGCAGGGCTGGAGAGCAAACGGGAGAGCAGGTGGGCCTGCCTGCCTCCCCGAGGTGATGCAGAGACGCCGCAGAAGCACTCAGCGTTATGAATCACTCCCCCAGCTGGCGGAGGCCAAAAAATACTGTAGGTGTGGTCAGAGGAGCAGACAAGACGTCCCGGTTGCTTGAACGATCACGTGCATTTACGGATGTCAATCACAGGCACCCATGCGTGACTCTCTGATCTGGTGACCCACCTAGAGAACACAGGCTAGAACTCATCTTCCCATGTGTGTATTTGAGAGCTCAGCCACCATTCGATAATCACTGACCATCACAGCCAGCCCTGTGCTCCCTTCTTCTGTCCATTCCCCAACCTGCCGCCTGGAATTTGGATGTGACAGTGCGATCACTAATTGCCACATTTCTAGAAACGTGAGCTGGAGAACCTCCCCATACGGCAGAGAGGGGAGCTGGAAGGTGCGTACGTCCCTAAGAACTTTGTGGCACCATCATCCTATCAGCACCCGATTCCCTACAGCTGGATTTCACCGGGACGAGAAAAAAATGAATACTACCTTCTTTAGGCCTCTTACTTCTGATTCTCTAATAAATGCAACCAAACCTAATCCTAACTACATAGGAAGAGAAAAAAAAAATGGGGAAAAAATAATTGAGGGTAAAGGTCTGCACGAGTAATAAGGAAAGGAAGGCAGCAATGCGGCAGGTCACCGGGACAGTTCTGCGCTGGGCCCCCGTCAAATCTACAGGCGGGCCCTGCCCTGTCTTACACAGTCTCCTAGGAGCCATTCCCCAAACACATGGATCTCCACGGCCAGGAGCGTGTATGCGCGTCGCGTGTGCTGCACACGCCCAGTGCTTTACTGTGACTGTAGTTCCCCTCGGTGCACGGTGCCCAGCCAAGTGTGTTTCCTGTAAGCCTAGGCTGGGGAACCAGGCAGCACTTCAAACACCTCCCATCCTCTTCTAGAAATAACTTCCCCGAGGCAGAGCACTGCCACCGAACACAGAGTGAACTGGAACGTGGGAGGAGGGCGGGACGGCTGAAGGGGAAACCGCGCTAGTGGAACACAGAGAGAGCCTTGTTTCCTAAGCCACTAGAACCAAAACAAAAACAGCTCCCCTTCCACGGGCCTCCTTCCCTGCCCCAGCACGGCAGTGGCAGCCGTGCTCGCACCTGGCCGCCCGGCTCCCTGCGAAACACGGACGCCCTCGGTTCATCCTCCTTTCTCTTTTAATTTTCTCTGCTGCCAAAAAATTGCTGTTCGTTCTTTTAAAGCCATTCCCATTCTAAATTGTCACTATTCTTAGCAGAAGCGTGTCTTTCGTTTCAAGAAAACATCGCCGCACAGAATGTTGCTAGGCCGCTAGATGAAACGTGCACGGTTAAGACGACTGCCTTTTCTGTCAGTGAACGGCCGTGTGTATCAGTAGCTCCCTCCTCCAGCACTGTGTGCAAAATCTGCGGCTTCTAACCCTTCTGGATTAGCCTCACGTGGTACTTGTGACTCAGATCTACAATCCACATCTATTTCTCACACAAGTACGATCAGTTACGTGTAAAATAACACGGCTCCCCTTTCTACCCATTTTTCAAGTGACTCATTTATTCAGCGAGTACTTATTGAGTGCCTACTGTATGTCTGCCATTGGAATATTATCAGCGAACAAAGACTCTGGCCTTCCTCACACTCACGCTCCAGTCCTAGGGGGGAGGCTGTCCTATTTTCCTCAGTAAGATGGAAAGTTTTGTGGCCCCACCACCACAACAGCACCGTAAGACCACGATGCCATCCTGAAGGTGAATGCATGTAACTTGAAACATGCAGTCTGAATCTCGAGGAGCAGGGTCCAATAAAAAAGGCTGAGAAAAAAATGATTTTTAATAAAGTTGGCAAGGAGTATCAAAAACTATATAGTAAATTTTTATTCTGTGGTCCAAAACAGGCACTTTTTAAACCATAAACTTCCTGAGGACCAAGACAGTATCTCTCTTTTTTTCTCTTTGAAAGGGAAATAGCTTCATTTTTATAAAGAAAAAAACCCCACAGCTATACAGTGAAGTAGAATGTAAAATCTGAATGAATTTTAAAAATGAAACACGAAATTTGGAAGACATTTCTTCTTGCAGCGGGCTGCTCTGGACTAAGCTGACCTCTGAGTGAGGAAAACACAGCCGTCACCAAAGTGGATAATGACAGCAGTCCTGTGACTTGGGCAAGGCCACAATCAGGCTTGTTTTTAGTCCAGAATGAAAGCCTGACACAGAGAGGTCCTGTATCTCACACATCTTGGCTACACACTGCCCAGAAGGGTCTATTAGCAAGGCGCTCAATGAATGTGAGCCAGAGAATGACTGACTGTTCCACGCCACCCCTGTGCTGTTATCAACAAAACAATAATGTGTGGCTGTATTTTAGGACAGTCCAAAGTCCTGATGAACTTGTGAGCTTAAAAAAAAAAACGCAAGGCCAATTTCTAATTTAAATTAAATGTTTCTTCCCCTCCTTCCTCTGTAACTCTGACCGGGAAGCCTAACTATCAGCTTGTGTGTGTGTCAGCTGCCCACACACAAGCAGCTACAAACACCGTGAGTCTGGATCACAGCTCCTTGACGGAGCGATGGGCTTGGTGAAACTGGTAAGTACCGTTTCACCCGGTCTTGTAAACCCTGATCGTTCCTTTGAAAATGACCGCGTGGTTAGTCCCGGGCTGATACACACGAGTTAGCTTTCCCTGCTCCATTTTCCCACCTACAAAACCAAGAACACTTTGTGCTTCCCAGGAAAGCCACTATCTTCAGAAGTTCAAGACGAGCGATATTTTGCAGGCAGCGAGCGCAGGTGTTTGCGAGCTGACCCTTCCGTGGCCGAGCTCTGCTGTCCTGCGTGAGGACCTACCTGGGAAGGGGCGCTGCAGGACAGGCCGGACAGCTCGCTGATGCGCGCGGCCGCCGTGGGGTTGCTGGAGCTGATGAGGACAGGGGGGCTGATCTCCATGGAGTGGCGGTTCTGGGATGCCTGGGAGGACTTGTTGGCCATGGTGAGCGAAGTGAAGGAATGCCGCTTTTTGGTGTTCTTCTTGGTGTCGGAGTGCTTCGGGGCAGTGTTGCTCTGGGCTGCGGCCGCGGGACACTCCCCGGCGTCAACGCCCGGCGCGGGAGGCTTGTCCCACTCTATCAGCTGCTTGGCAGCCGAGTTAAACTGCAAAAGCAACGACAAACCGACACGGGAGAGTCAGACAATTCTCAGGGAATCACTGAGGTTTATGTTCGACATGACTTTATCCAAAATTTAAAGTTACCACTTTAAAGTTTGCCTGTGCCAATATCCGTTTATGCCATGTGAGATGTCTTTTCTCTCCACACTGGGGATTCACTGTATCTATCTCACAGGGGGGTATTAAACCAAGAATAAATAATTCCAATGCAAGACTGAAAAGATAAAAGAAAACATTTAATAAGGATGTTCAGAATGTCTAATTTCAGTAAATTCTGGCCAGTTTCCAATGAAGATTTTAGTCCACTGATGAAATTCAGAGAAGAGCAGTCAAAAGGGTGTGTTTGTCTGCCTGAAAATCCTGGTTCCCAACAACGGCTGGGTATTTGCTCAGAGTACAACTGAACGTCAACGGGGCCACTTTTGAGTTTGGCAAAAATGAGCAAGAAGACAAAGAATGAAACCGTGCCACATGCATTTCCATGTAAATTAACCACCTGCCCCTCTCTATGTATTTTGGAGAACCTCATAAAATAGTCGATAGACATTCTTAATCTGTTTTTGTCATACCATCGCATCAGTTATATTCCTATGTGCTCAAACTTTAAACCATAACAAGGTAAGACGTGAAATTCAAGTCCTGCTGGCATGAGAGCTCAGTTTCTTTGAAAACTCCCAGAGCAGAGCAGAGGACAAGGGGTCAAAATCTGTGCAGTATGCTGATAATATCAGCAAGAAAGGAAAGAACACAAGCCTTTTGTTTTCCCCAAGGTAAAATAAAACATTTCCGGCAAGCTTCAATGATAACAAGCTGCATAAAACTTACCTACATATTACAATAATGGGAAAACATTGAGCACATGGCTTAACTTCTCATAAAAATTGAGGTGAAAAATAATAAACTTTTCAAAGGTAATTTAGGTAATACTAAGGAGAAATAGAGACATTTTTTTCCCATTTCAGCATTATATGCTTAGCACTTCACAAATATCTTTATATAAAACAACATCATCCCTCGGTTTTTTTTTTTTCTATCTACCTAAATTGCTTGGACCATGTCTTCTCGCCCTCTTGATGAGACCCTCTACTCGGAGGGTAGAAATCCTGTCGGTCAAAGTTTTATGAAATGAACTTGCTCGGGCACAACCAGCTCCTCCAAAGCTATGTCAATTGCAGCTCAGCAGCCTGCGTGTGCCTCTAAGATGATTGCAAATTGACTGACAGTTGGCTCCTGTGGCTCCCTGGGGACTCGAATTCAGGTGGCTTGTATGATCTATAATTAGTAGGATCAATCTTTTTCAAAAATGAGCATATCTCTTCTTCAGACTACAAGAAGTTTTCCCATGGGATAAACTTTCAGAAATAACAGGCAGTAATGCCAGATAACACCCATCAATGCCTGAAGTACCAAAGGGCAGAGAAAGAGGATGATGAGGACTCCTTGCGGTCCGTGTTTGGGGATCAAGGAAAGAGCAAGAAGACAAAGAATGAAACCATTCAACAGGCACTTCCATGTCCATTAGCCACCTGCCTCTCTATATATATTTTGGGGGAACCTCATAAAAAGGTTGGTGGGAATTCTTAATATGTTTTTGTTATATCATTGTGTCAGTTATACCATTGTGTCAGTTAATGCCTTTAATAAAAGGCTGGCTCACAATGAGTAAGATGTGCAACGTTTGGGGGATAGACATGCCTGAAGCTCTGACTCGAGGGGGGAGGAGGGGAATGGGCAATATACGTAACCTTAATACTTGTACCCTAATAATACGCTAAAATAAAAAAAAAATAGAAAGGCTGGCTCTATTAGAGCACTGTAACGGCGTTTGGCCAAGAGATCCAGAATTTACAAATCCCATCTTGGTCTAGGAGAATCAAATGCCCCAAAGCAGAAAGGTAACGTGCTATGGTGGGAATGGCCCTAAGCTCTCTGCGGAGCTCTAATAAACTGCAGTGAGCCACCAACCCAACACCCTCAACACCCTCACGTCCCAAACCCAACACCCTCATGAAATGAGGGGACAGCACGGCCCGCAATGCCAGAGGAGAGGAGCCAAAGAACGCCTCCTCCACTGTAGGCTGATCTAGACCCCTGGGGACAAATCCTCACAAGCATGAACCTAATCAGCGCACTGGACTCTGACAATCAACGCCGCACACCTGTTCCCTGGAGTCAGCAGTAGGGACAGGAGTTGAGAAGACTTCCTCCTCGTGGAGGCCAAAAATATAAATAGAGGAAACTATCACATCTACTTGATACCGTGTTTAGATTAATTCTGGGGTCAAACAATAGGCTCCATCCGCTGTGCCGACCTTGAAAGACTCTGAACAATTACCACAGTCTCGTCATGGTCATACCTAGCCAAGTGTCAGCTCTAGTTAATATTGTGTTGGTATTTCAGGGTTCCTCATGCTGTGCTCTGGTAGAAACATCTGAGAATTAGAGTATTGTTCCCTATATTTTCTGCTGTTTTTCTTATCAGAAAAATACTGATGCTTCTTCCCTTGTGTCTTTTTCCATTATCACATATTTTCCATTAAAATAAATATACAAGGAGCACCTACCGGTATTATGTGCTATCAAGGCAAAGAAATGGTCTCTGCTCTTAAGTAGCTTATAAACAGACATAAAAATAACAGCATTTTCCATAATTTCTTACGTCTGGCTACTTTTGCTCAATAACATGCTTTTTGAGATTTAGCCACATTGCACCACGAGTCGGTGGTTCTTCGTAATTGCTGTGCAATAGTCTGCTGTGTGAATATACTATAATATCAGTCTACTGCTGATTGACCTGGGGTTTTCTTTCTCTCCTTCCTTCCAATAGGTTTGGTCATTGAGAAAGTGCTGCTGTGAATAAAATGCCTTCTGGTGGACAGAAGCACTCATCTGAATACTGGGCATATGTCCGGGAGTGGAAGTGCTGGACCACGGAGTTGGCAAGCTTAGAAAAATATGGTCACACGCAGAAGCGTTTGTGTGCAGGTAGACATGTCTTGGAGTGACAGAGCTGGCAAGCTGGCAGGCAGAGACCGCAGTTCTAGTTTTAGCTCAGCCATTAACTACCTTTGTTACCTTAAGGGGCAACTTTACCTCTATTGCTTCCTCATCTATACAATAGGTAGCTTGGAGCCCATGACTTTTATTTTTATTTTAGCTCTCCACACGTATAATGCATAATCTCATTTTAAATAGACACGGTTCATTTTTCTATCTCCAGTCCTCTAAATAGCCTAGTATATTTTTTCTGCATTTCATTTTTATGCACGGACAGCAATATTAGTAAAGATGTTATCATATTTTAAAATTTTACTTTAGATTTCTTCTGAAGTAGCATACATTAGTATTAAAAACTACTACTGCTCCTTGCTTCCTTTATAAGTTCCAGAGAAAATCATAAAGTTAAGACTATTTGGTACAGGCATTAAGTAAATCTGGAAGAAACTTAAAGAGGCTTTAAGTGTAACTTAACCTTTGGTTACACTAGAAAAGCAAAGATCTGACAGTTTTTAGTGGAATTTTGATAAAATTCACTTATGAATGCTTATTTGGGCTCAGTAGTGTGGGCTTTCTGTGACATTTATCTAACCATGACCTTTAATGTTAGCACTGCACACTCATCAACTGCAAAATAAATTTGTATCCTAAAATACCTTCTTCCAAGCATTTGGCAAGGAACTTTAATAAGACTTCAGTTGGATACAGGGTAAAATTCAGTATATTAGAGCTAAAAGCAGGGACTACAGGGATTTATTCTTAAAATTCTTATGTGCTTTTTTGAGGAAAAGCCTAAAATTTAGAAAGAATTTGTTTTTGAGAGTTATCAAAAGTATAAAAGAGAGGAAATACTGACAAAATAATTAAAGGCAGCTTAAGAAGTATTAAAAATAAATATTTTGTGTGTGGTTGCCCTCTTTGCTGAAGAGAATATGGTCTTTGTAAAACACAGAGCTTACACTTTTTTAAAGAGAAAAAAAATTTCCTAACAAGAACTAAGGTGAACATGAAGCTTTACAGATGAATTAGTCTCGAGCTTTTGAGCACTAAAGAAAACAAATCGTAGGCTTGAGAGGAAACTACTTTGATTCACAACCCTCTAGAGTATCTCTGAACTAATACGTTTTTACAAAACGCAAATACTTTAAAAATGTATTTTAAAAGTAATATATGTTGATTATTTTTAAAAAGGAAATAAATAAATAGTAAAGAGCATCATGAAGTACAAAGTAAAAGGTTCCAACCAGTTCTCAGTTACGTCTCTTCCAAACCCATTTCTCCAGATGTAACCTGTAATCCCAGATGAACATTGAGAACATATCCTTCCATATATTTCCTATGTAGACACTGTTATACATTTTTTTTTTGAGACAGAGTCTCACTTTGTTGTCCAGGCTACAGTGAGTGCCGTGGCGTCAGCCTAGCTCACAGCAACCTCAAACTCCTGGGCTCGAGTGATCCTTCTGCCTCAGCCTCCCGAGTAGCTGGGACTACAGGCATGTGCCACTATGCCCGGCTAATTTTTTATATATATATCAGTTGGCCAATTAATTTCTTTCTGTTTTTTTATAGTAGAGACGGGGTCTTGCTCTTGCTCAGGCTGGTTTTGAACTCCTGACCTTGAGCAATCCGCCCGCCTCGGCCTCCCAAGAGCTAGGATTACAGGCGTGAGCCACAGCGCCCGGCCTACTTTATTAATTTTTAACACAAATGAAACCAAGCAATGCATACTCTCCCTTAACAATATTTCATAAACATCTTTCCCTGTCAATAGGGACAGGCTGACAGCACGGTATTCCATTGTACAGAGATGTCACTTATTATAGACATCCTGGCATGCTTGTGCAAGCATATCCATAGGGTAAACTCCTACAAGTGAATTGTAAAATCAAAATGTAAGCTTAACAATGTTTTTTTTTTAAAGAATATTGCCAAATTGTACTCCAAAAAGGTATTGATTTTCATCATCCTCAACAGTGTATAAAAG